TACACCCACACACACACACACACACACACACACACACACACACACACTCGCTCTCCCTATATACATATATATATATACCTATACATATTTATCCTTCTCTCACACTCTCTCCCTCTCTCTCTCTCTCTCTCTATATATATATATATATATATATATATATATATATATATATATATATATAAACTGTATATATATATATATATACATACATACACAGTTTATATATATATATATATATATATATATATATATATATATATACACACACACACTATGTATCTATATATTGACATATTAAATATATAGACATTTATATATCTCAATCAAAGTTCCCGTACCTGTGTTACTCTCTGCACCAAGCAGTCATCCGCATATGTTCCTTTGTGTGAACAAGGCAATCGATCGAATCGAGGATCTTTGGCAATCCTGTACAAAATATTCACAAAGCCATATATTTAAATGGCATAACAATATAATAACATTCTTAATCCAAAAAAAAAAAAAAAACGAGCTGTTCAAACATAATCCCTAAACCAGCCTTAAAAAGAAAAAGGTTTCAAAATGAGAATGATACGAGTCTAAACATGCTAGAGGCTATTTTACCTATGTTTAAGGAGAATTCACATGATTCTAAATTAAATAAATGACAACAAAATAGTTTTTAATAGACAGGCTGGTAAGTGGATGCGCTCAATAGAGAGTGTGTATATTTTGAAGAATAATGGACTTGCATAATGTTCAAATGTATTACTTTACACTCTTTTTATTTTAATGTTAATCTCTTCATTTTTTTCAAATCATTTACTTTGTTAAAAAAAGAGACTAAATGTACATAAATACCATTACTAACCCCAGTAATCCAAGGCCAACAAAAAAAGAACTGGTTTAAAATGTCGTGGAAGTGTGTTTTACCGCAAAGCCACTCGATACTTCATGCCTAATTTCTCCAGCTCAGCCATCACACAGTCTGTTATGCAAGGAACACCTGAAACAACACAACACAAATTACTACACATCATAGAACATGCAGACATATTGACTTAAAAAGAGACAGGATAAAGCAAGTCAAAGAATGTTTATTTATATAGTTTGCATACACAGTTACCATTTTCATACAATTACCATTCAAATAAATGAATAGTACAATTGACTTAAAACTAATTACTATAATTATATAAACAAACAAATGAATGATGCTAAAATGTATTAAAGGAGCAGTATGTAGGATTTAGTATCTAGGTCTGTATTGCAGTCCAATTTCAAACTACTAGAGAGTTTTTTCACCCAGTCCCTTCATGGAGGTTGCCAGATTGATGGCACAATTACAGCGTTCCCCCAACAATTTTTCACACCAAACAAAGAATTAAGTATTCATGACATCAAATAGGTGCAAATATGCTAATAACGCCTTATTCTTGCTGTGCATGACCTATGAACACTGAAGGATTCGGATTTCTGCTTTCCAATCCGTCTCATCATGGACCAACGTTTATCCTTTTCATCATCCTGTTTCTCAGTATTTAACTGTGAATTGATTTTAATGAATAAATAAGTTAACACATTGCTTAATATAAGAATGTTCAGTGCATTTGCCTGTCTCTTTATAATTTATTTTCAGAAGCCACCAATCTAGATCAGAGGTCACGGAGACCTTGAGTGGAACTGAGGACTGAAAGCAACTGTTACTATTGTTATTTCTACGAGTTAATATTGTCTAAAATGTCTAAAGCGATTTTGCTATTTTTACGGTTAATTCTTTTTAAAGTGATTCTACTTTTTATTCAAGATAGACTTTGTGTAGTAAGGAATTATAACTGCCTGAATGTAGATGATACCGGTTTTTAACCAGTTTCGATAAAGACGGCTGAGAGTACACTCAGCCTTGGATAAGAAACAGATCATACTTTGTGTGTGTGTGTGTTCTATTTGATTGTTGATCCATTTCACAGGTCTGGAGTCAGCTCTAATCAGTCTAAAGCAGGGGTAGGCAACCCAAAATGTTGAAAGAGACATATTGGACCAAAAAAAAAACAAAAAACAAATATGTTTGGAGCCGCAAAAAATGTAAAGCCTTATATAAGCCTTATAATGAAGGATACACATGCTGTATGTATCTATAGTAGCTATATTAGCCTACTATAAAAATGACTAAGTTGGCTACAAATACATAATGAGCCTTAATGATTAAATAGCCACTGATATCAGGTGGTTGGTGTTTATTTCGTTGTCATTTAAACACTTCAGCACAGCCTCTGGTCTTTCAGTGATATTAATTTGATCATTTCTTCTTGCGGTCCATCAGAGTTCACATACCTGCATAAAAGCGCATTGAATATCGGCCACATTACAGGCAATTGAGTATGCTGGCACTGAATTAATGTCCTTGGTTTGCTGATCGGTGATGTTACCTGCCATTTTAATAGCCCTTTCCTTCACTGTCTTAGCGGAGAGAGGTATATCTTTAATTTTTTGTATTATCTTGGTTTTATTTTTGAAGTCTGCAATTACTGTAGGTGTTCTAATATGTTGATGAATGACTCCTTCATGTAGTCACCATCTGTGAACGGTTTTCCATGCTTTATTATCTCCCGGTTTGTTTACAACAGCCACCTGCCTGGCATCCCGCCCTGCTGATAGAAACCTGTTTCGCAGGCTATGAGGCAAATCTTCGTTGACAGAAATGTTGAAATTAAATATTAATTCTAGACACTTTTACAGCATTTGAAAACGTTAAAAATGTTTGTCCTCCTATAGAAATCATATTAAAACAAAAATATATACTAACCTTCCCCATCTTTTTGAACATTTTTGAAAAAACTTCAGGGAGCCACAAGGGCAGCGCTAAAGAGCCGCATGCGGCTCTAGAGCCGCGGGTTGCTGACCCCTGGTCTAAAGGATGTCTGACGTTTATGCTTAAGATAATGTTCAGAATTGTATGCACAAACCCCACGTGGAAATGTTCCTAGTCTATCTGTGTTTTAACCAATCAGGTTAGAACACCAGTATGTGTGACGCAGTTAATGATGTTATGTGAGAGTATAATTGTTATTGATTGGTGATTGTAAGCAGAGCGGCCTAGGAACTCATTGCGAGTGTTGAAGCTGGCTTCTGCTGATTTAAATGCAAACTATCTTTAGTAAACTTGATTTATTTATTTAAATCTCTGACTCCGGCTCTTCTTCATTTACCAGATTGGTCATTCTTTGGGTTAAACTGTATACTATCCCTACAACACACATAATTCGCCTCATTCATGTCTACTGCGTAAGCTGTGGAAAACATTTGCTTTTGGGTTCCACATCATAAAAAATGATTCCAGCTCACTTTATCAATAGAGAGGAAAATCTCTATTGACCTCATGCTTGACGTACGAGCTGGCGCAGCCGTCGCACTCTTTTTGGCTCAAGACTTCCAGTCTCATTCACTACCATTATTTTTTAGACGTTCTTATGCTGCTCGGTGTAGCAAACTGATATTTTCTTATTATACTATTCTACTTTTTATGTATAGTCATTGTGGAAATATCAATGTATATAAACTAATTTCAAATGAACAATAATCTACATATTACTGAAAAGTTCTATTCTTTGGTTTTTAATTATACCATTTCATGAACATCCCAGCTTTAAGGGATATTTACCCTTTTGTCTTTCTGACTACTGGCTAAGCCAAAGGGATGCAGATGCTACGGGCAGGTTTTTCGGGCGTTGCTTCTATGCTACAGAAACCCTTCGTTGATTAACTTGTGTGGTCAGTAGCTGGGCCGGTTTCTAACCCAGTAAACCCTGCCGACAACTACACTTCATTTGAATGCTTTGTTTAGCCATCTCCCCTCCTCCTAAGAACACAATAAAGACATGAAATCTTTGTCTCAAATCAGACTTGTGATTGAACTTGCAGACTGCAGACCTTTAGTAGGCTCTGCAGACACATGGACATCCTAAAGACAATGTATGACTGCAGATTAACCAACACGTCTCAATAAAGGAATAGTTCTGTTTGTTCAAGTCTCCTAGACTGGGTTCTCTCCTCTTCTTCAATCATTTATTTTTTTACAACAACTTCTTTGTAGAGAAAGCGGTTTGACCATTTTCTTCCACTTATTACTCCTAGTCTTTTCTTCCATAGGTGACTTAGGCCCCGTTTACACTAATGCGTTTTAGTTTGAAAACGCATAAGTTTTGCTACGGTTACGCCATCCGTCCACACTACGCCGGAGTTCTGGAGCGCCGAAAACGGAGCGTTTCGAAAACGCTGGAGAGTCCGTTTTCATTCTAAAATGCTGCTGCTCCGTCTCAGTGTGGATGGGGAAAGACGGAGACATCTGAAAACGGAGGCGGGGCTGCAGAGATTCGCCTCTCTGATTGGGGCTTTTCCTCAATATTAAGTAGCCTAACACACACAGTTCAGTCCTGAATCTTCTCCGTGTAAGTTCAGACTTCGCAAGTTTGATCAAGGCTGCAGTCTCTTCTTCTCAGTTTGATATGGAAAACAGACTATACCGAGGACACGGGTAAATCTTTAAAGGGAACAGTGTACTTTATAACTTCATTCACATCACCTTGGCTACGTTGTTTCACTTTCTCAACAATAAAATGTAAACTTGATATAAGGAACTGCCTATTTTCATTTTAATATTAGCAACTTAGACAGCAGAAATGTTGAGGCGTCGTGCTGCATATATGAGCGTCATCTTCACTGTGTGGATATTTATAACAAAACGGAGCCGATAACAACTGCCTCCTTTCAATTTCAGTGAAAATACGAAACACACCCTCTCTTTTGCTGAATATCAGTTTTAATAAACGATAATGGCCATTATAAAAGTATAACATACAATAAGTTTATACATTATAGGAAATAAAGGCAAGCGATCAGTCAATATACAGAATGTACGTGGTTACATTAATCATTAACTTATCTTTGCGCTCAGCCAAAACACGTTACCTGAGAACAAGTAATAGATTCCAATGACCAAAGTCAGGGAATATGTCGTTAGATAAAGACAACAAGATGAATGAAATATCACGTTTAATAAATATAGTGAGATTAGATCCAGCGGGAGATGCTTGATGAGAAGTCCGACTAGCAGAGCTCTCATCTGGGTAGATGGGCTCCAGCGATTGCCAAAGTGTGTGTGTGTGGTCACGTGATGTGCGTTTTCAGCGTTTTGGTGTGGACGGAGAGCAGTTCAGAAACGCTGGGTAAAACGCGAGTGTGGACGCGGATCGTTTTCATTCTAAAACGCCGTTTTAAAACTAAAACGCACTAGTGTAAACGGGGCCTGAATCTGACATTCAAAAACAATCACAAAAACGAGCGCACGTCCGCATCACAGAATAATGTCAATAGTAATCCATTAATCCAAAATACATCAATTCAAACCATTCAGAGAAAACAGCATGGGGACTTACATTTAGCATAGAGGCAGTCCATCATCGACTGGACAACATCTAATTTGGCCTTAATAGAGAAGTTGATGAAGTTGGTATCAACCAGGATGTAATACGGAGGTCCAAGCTGGGTGTTGTATTGAAAGAAGAGACAAGAGGGGTACTTTGCTCTAAAAGAGAGATAAGCAGAGTAATACATATAAAACACATATAAAAACACCTTATTCTTTTGTATTATAAATAGTATTTTTAAGTTGTCCAATGTTCTCACAGAGAAGCCAGCGTCAGGAACAAATAAATAAATATACAAATTCAAATGTGCTGCAATGCAAATATTGAGATAAAGTTAGTATCAAATAATAATGAAGTAGTCCATTTAATTTTCACATACTTGCTACTCAAATGCAGGGCTCAACAATAAGGATTGCCCGGTGGTCTAGGGCCAGCGTGAGAGACGCTTGGGACAGTAGACAGGATCATTACTGGCCCGATTGGGACAGTGCTGCCTTGCCACTAAAGTTTAATTTGCCTGCGACTATTTGTCACTTGCGTGCATTTTAAGTTTGTGCTTCTAAGTCTTTAAATGCTACCTTCTCAGTGATGTCGTAGACACTATATTGCTTTTTGGTTCCTCTTATGTGATTTGATGTTTTGAGCATGCTATTTTTTCCTTGAGCATGCTATTTTTTTATGACCTGGTGATAATCAGTACAGCAAAGAAACGGCAACAAATTATAAGGCTAAATGAAAATGTCTGTTTCTAATGTCTTGGAAGCAGACATTTACGTGGGAACAACACTACAAAAAATGAAGTGATGTTTTGCACAATTTGCCATCAGTTTGACAAGTCGGCCACCTTTAGTTAAATAATTTCTAACTGCACTAAAATACCTCCATATTTTCCATACTGCTCTGTTTGTGTGCATAACACTTTGATTTTTTCTCTTTAAACATTTAATAACATTTTTTTAGGTATTGAAATTTTTGATTCACTGACATTACATTATTTTTGACACATTATTTAAAATATGTGCTAACAATTTTTTTTTTTTTTGGTGGTGGGGCCAGTAAAAATTTTGGCAGGGCAAGTAAAAATCTAAACCACTGGCCCGGTCGGATCAGTAGAAAAAATCCTTAGCATTGAACCCTAAAATGCCATATAATTTTATTAAAGGGATTTCAATTGTCCTGGTTTTTACAAGATTAAATTAAATTAAAGGATTTTAATGAGAAGAAACATTTTAAAACTACACTGTAAAAATGCTGTATTCCACATTATCGATTTTTGTTAGGACAACGTGAAGAAATCAAGTTAACTTATTAGTTTTTACAAATGAAAGTGGACTGAACATAAAACAATTAAGTTGTCCACCCTTATAAAAAAACTCTAAAATCGTATTGTTTTAGTTTATTTTAAATAAGTAGTCAGAACAAGCAGCAGACATGATTTTTGAAGTATATCCAAATATCAAAAAATGTAAAATAAATTAATGAAATACAAAAAAATAATCACGTAAAGTATGAAATGAAATGCATTTAAAAAAATACTTTCATGAAAACTATAGACTTTTTAATATAAACATGTATGTATCTAATAATTGCTTAACTTACTGGTCAGTATTATTATTATTAAACGAATTGCACTATGGACAGCTTAATTAATAAACCTATGAAGTCCTGTATATATTAAAAAGTGTTCCGATAAAGGCTGCTATATGGTTTACCTCTGGAATTGCATTGACAACCTTTTTAAACGTAACCAAATTTACCTGTCTCTATCTGAGAAAAAAGCAAGATACATAAATCAGTAGTGTATTGTGAACTGACGTCAAGCCTGTCAAATAAGCAGGCTGCGATTTCATTCGCTCCATGTTGATCTTTGCACTCCCAGAGGCATCAATGTTGAAAGACTCAAACTTACATTTCTTGTTCTTTAATGGCCGAGGGATCTTCTTTCTTCTTCTTCTGCGTTTTTGCTCTGTCTTTTTCTTTTCTATACAAAAAGAGTGAAACAAACAAAGCTTTTGATTATATTTTTAGAGCAAGATACTGTATTAGATTTGGTGACACGACTGCTGATAATCTACTCTCGTAATTTTTTTTGTAATTACACTAGTATTTATTAGTAAACTTTATTTTAGGGTTACACCTTTGGATTATTTACTTTGGATTATAAACCTTTCTGTCAGATTTTTCTTGAAGATCAAAATCTTTATGCGTCTTTGATCTCTGAATCTACTAACACGAAAGCTGTAAGAACTGAATCTGTTTAAAAGACACATTTCTGTTGTGCTCCCTGGCATGTACTGTGATATAATGTAGTGTACATGTTTAATTTGACATATATGATAATAACGTGTGAGTGATTATTGAAGTGTCTCCGTCGTCGGATCCTTTCAGACAGAAAAGGACAAGCGCGAGAGTGACTAAACAAAGGAGAAGCCCAACATAACACACGAGCAAACTGTTTCAGCAACCTGAATCACGAACAAACTGCCATGTTTATCATCGCCTTAAGGACTATTATGAACTCAGAATGACAGAATTACTCTCTAACAGAGGTTAAATGTGCTGATGAAGATTGCAGACACAGGTGAGAGGTTTGCACTGACTGTGGGCTATGATGCGTGTTGGTTATAAACCTAAATAAGGACTAAATGTCTGCTGTGTGTAGTTTTTCTGTAATTTTTTACATCAGAGACTGTAAGGGTCTGTATGTGCTCATATATGTGGCATTTATTTATTTTATATTATTATTATTTATTTAATATAATAAATAATAATTTATTTAAATTAATATAATATTTTATATTATTATTATTTATTTAATTGCAGACGTTACAGTAGGCTATTTTGCACTGTCATTGGTCTGCAGTTCAATCAAATTATGTTTATAAAAAAGTTAGTAATGAACATTTATACACAAGTATTTAGGTGAATAAAGCATCTGTTTTGTGAGAAGTGATTTTCATATGATTTCAGAGCGACCCGTACGGCTTTACTGTAGACATTTATTTCAGCGATAATTACGTCGGCTGAAACTCTTAGGACGCTTCACACCTACACTTTTGTTTCGGAACCTGTCTCGTTTGCCCAGTTAGCGCGGTTCGTTTGGCATATGTGAACAGGGCAATCGCGCTCTGTTCCGCGCCAAAGTAATCGCTCCGAGATCGCTTGAATGAGGTGGTCTCGGCTCGATTGAAACGAACCCTGGAGCGGTTCGATTACAGTGAGAAAGCGATCCGAGCGCAGTTATATCACAGTGCATTATGGATATGTAATAGGCATACGGCTATATGTAGAGAGAATTATGAGTATTGTGAGAAGTTTCGCGAGTCTCCGGATGCCCGCAAACGAGTGATGATCTCCCGGTAATCTCACGTCTCCCTCCCGGTCCTCAAATAGGCTACGACGCGCACCCTTCTCACCCCTCCCCACCGCGTCTCTCCTCAGACACATCACGCACGCGCGTACCCTGTCAATCACCACCAAACCACCATCTCTCCTGACAGCTGAGCGGGACGCTGCAAAATAAACCCTGACACTCTGACCAATGTGAGGAGAGTTTACTCGCACGTGACTTGTTTTAGCTCTTTTGGTCCGATTAGAAACTTTGCAGTGTGAAAGCGAACCGCTCCAAGAGCAAAGAGCAACAATGTAACAATTGTGATCTCTGTTTCGGATCAACTGAATCGATTCACAGGTGTGAAAGCACCCTTAGTCATACACCACGCCCACCAAAAGGGTACCCTTGGTAGTGGAAACGCAAGACTGATAAATGTGACCCGTACCGACCCGAACCGTACCAGTCAGTGAAAACAAGCCATAAAAGAACTTAAAATCTTTTCGGATGCCCAGACTAAAATGAAAACAAAATAAAATGTATTTATTTGTATCATATAACTCGCCACAGATGATTTTATATTGATTTCTTTATGGGTTTTTTTCCACTTTTAATTTTATTTTAGTTTGGATGATTATTGTACATCATTTTGTGTTGAGCCTTCCATGTGTGATACATAATTTCTAAAGTTGAATGCCATTTTGTTGGATTTGGATGTGTTTATTTCCAATAAAAAAAAATAAACAATAATAATAACAATCGCAGTTTCCGGTTCATGGGGACTTTAACTCCCAGTGCCTTTGACCATTATGTAAACACATTCAATTCGGTTCTCTAGCTTCTGAAACACGGTCAATATTACAAAGCTCTAAAAACGACCTTAGCTCAAGTTTTGCTTACTAATAAACAATACTAATATAACGTTAAAGGAGAATACTCACATCCTCTGGTCCTTCAGACTGATCATTCTTTTCATGGTCGCATATTTTTTCTGTTTCTTCTGTTTTCCCTAAGTACACAAACACAAGCTGTCACTCAAGCAACGAATGAAGAAAATATTGTGCAAATCACTTCATGACGAACACTGGAATAAACGCTTTGCTTTACCATGACGGCTGAATTTGTTCGAGATTATCACTGTAGCCCTCGTGTGTTGCGCTTTGCGACATAAAAGCCTCCTAACGTCATCGCCACGCGACACATTTCACATTTTACCAAAACTTAGCGTCATTTCCTGCATCGTTTCTGCGCTAGATCCTGCGGTCTTTCCGGTCCTCAGCCGACATCCATCAAGGTAAATATGTAGACAATACTGCAGCTGTTCTCTAATCGTGAATTGTTATTTGTCGTACGGCACTTTTATGTGATTTTTTTACTTTTAGCCTCGTTGTCGGTACAGCAGTGCTGAGTGTTAGCTTCAGTCTTTATTTGACATTGTGTGATTATTCTGCGTCGCATGTGTTTTATTTATGACACTGTGAGTGTTGAAGACATGCACACCACTGGCTATTTTCTCCCGCTACGTGGGCTTTTGTATTTGTGCATTTGCTTTACTTCCATGAACCAATGCGGTGTTAGATTGGTTATATAAATATCGAGAAAAGGACTATCATGTTTGTAGACCAAAAAATGACATTACGGCAGCGCTGCAGTCGTTATTTAGCAGCCGTCTGTCTTTCGTTAAAAGCAAGATTAGGGTGAAGTTGATTTTATATTCGCACCTTCACAGTTTTAATATAATTTAACAGAGTATTATTTTTCAATCCTAAATAGGAGAGTCATGTTAGCAGCCATTGACTATCAAAGTACAACATTGTTAGTTCAAAGTAAAACCCAATTATTTAAATGGTGCAAATGTATAGAAGTAAAGTTAGTTTTATATTCGGATTTTCAGACATTCCCCTTAATAATATCATTTCAGATAAGTATTTATTGCAATTTTTAAATAGGGAAATCATATTAGCAGCCAATGACTATCAAAGTACAACATTGTTCACAGTCAAATAAACAGTGTTAATGTTGTTTTCAAGTCACACTTGCATGCTAATTCCGATCGAATATTCAGAGTAACATAGTAAACAATATATAGACTTCTAAATGAACGAATGTGTGAATATAAAACCAACTTTACCTCTATTGCAAATGTTACCTACACAGTATTTTAGATCGAGTATTCAAAGTAATGTTAACGATTCAGATAAAGTTTGTTTTATATTTGAGCATTCAGACTTTCTCCTTAATAATATAATTTCAGAAAAGTATTCTTTGCATTAATTGCAAGTGTTATTTTTGAAAATCATATTAGCAGTCAATAACTATCAAAGGTCAATATTGTTCCGTCAGTTAAATAATGCTAATGTTGTTTTTAACTCATGCTTGCAGTTATATAGAGGTAAGGTTGGTTATATATTCGCACATTCGTTTCATTTAGAAGTCTCTATATTGTTTATCATGTTACTTTAAATATTCGATCGGAATACAAAGTTTGACTTGAAAACAACATTAACACTGTCTTATTCACTGTGAACAATGTTGTACTTTGATAGTCATTGGCTGCTAATATGATTTCCCTATTTACAATTTGCAAAGAAAATGAAATTATATTATTAAGGAGAATGTCTGAATATCTCAATATAAAACCAAATTTACCTCTAACCTCTATACTCGAACTGAAGCACAGTAAACTATGTAGGGAGTGTTAAAATGATCGAATGTGCGAATATAAAATCAACTTTACCTCAATACGTTAACGTGATAAACGATATAGCATTAAAATATGCCGAGTTACAGTTACAAATATGGTTTGGGCTCATTACAGTACCTCATGATAATTAATTTGTGTTTGTGTTGTCTATTTTATTGAACAGGATTGTCCAAATGTGCAAATATAAACAAACTTTACCTCAATAAAACCTTCCTATCTCTTATTGAACATGTAGACAACTTGGTGTTCCTTATATTCATTCATTTTCCTTTGGCTTAGTCCGTTTTTTTTATCAGGGGTCGCCACAGCGGAATGAACCGCTAACTTATCCAGCATATGTTTTACACAGCCTATGCCCTTCCAGTCGCAACCCAGCAATGGGAAACACCCATACTTAGCTCTCACATTCACACACATAGATTACTTCCAATTTAGCTTATTCAATTCAACTATAGCGCATGTCTTTGGACTGTTGTGGTATACTAAAATCGATAAATCTGCACTTTAATCTCGATAATGAAATAAATTAAGAATACCCACATAGTTTTAAAACTGTATAATGCTGTTTTTCACAGCGAATGATGTTTTGAGAAATGCCCCATTGTTCTTAAAAGGGAAGTCAGTGGACTCTAATGTTGTTTGTTTTCAATATTCTTTAAGAAGATGATGGAAATTATCTCATTATTTACTCTCCTTCGAATGGTTTTAAACTTGTATAAGTTTATTTCTTCCGTTGAACACAAAAGAAGATATTTTGAAGAATGCTGCTGCAACCAGCATTTTCCAAATGTTTTATTTTGTGTTCAGCTAAATAAAACAACTAAAGTAGGTTTTAAAAAAGTGAAATGTCAGTAAATTATGGGTGAATTTTTATTTTTGTCTGAACTATCCTTTTAAAGTGTCACCTTTTCTGGTGTCTCGTGTTTTTTGTATCATACTCAAAAAATCCTTTAGGCTTCGATTGCTGCCAATCATCCTTAAGTTATTAACACAATTAGGAGTGTTATTTTGAGATTTCAGTGTTTTTACTTTAGGTTTTTGTTGTATATATATATATATGTATGTATATATATATGTATGTGTGTGTATATATATATATATATATATATATATATATATATATATATATATATATATATATATATATATATATATATATATATATATATATATATATTTATATATATATATATATATATATAATATAT